ACATGTTATTGGCATTATTTTGCCCATGAACCATAGTTTTGTTTACACGTGCCGTGATATGACGTCATCCCGGGCTTGAATGGTTAACAGAGCAAATATCACTGTCGACGGATGCCATCATTACCATTGTATTCAGTATTATGAGTTAATGTAGAAGTCTTTTCCTTTCTTTAATGTAAAAACCCTTTTAGAGTTAAATGAGAAATTTTGTTACTTGGATAAATAAAAACTATCACGTTGAAAGAGTTCTTTTAAGACATGGTACCCTGTTTTTCCGCGGACAAGTATACTACGCGCGTCGCGTGGATGTTTTCTAGGAGAATGAAAATGCGTGTAAAGCAGCTTGGGCTGTCCACGTGACCAAAATCCACCTCACAGGATTGGTTTTTTCTAAACCTTCTTTTGATTTTCGAAATCAGGAGTGATCTAAAAATAACTTAAAAGAGATTACCTTGAGAATAAGAGATGTATGGGAGGTAAACTCTCTTATTCTTGATCCTCTCTTGTCGAATTCCAATTAAACCAACTAGTGATTGCTACCTTACCTTTATGGATGGCGCGGTGGTCTCATGGCTAGTGCGCTCGTCTCCAGATCGAGCGATCCGGGTTTGAACCCTGGCCGGGACATTGTCTTTGTGTTCTGAGGCAAGACACTTCACTCTCACAGTGCCTCTCTGCACCCAGGTGTATAAATGGGTACCGGCGAACTTAACGCTGGGGCCCTGCGGTGGACTGCCAGCCAATCCAAGGGGGAATAGAAATACTCCTAGTCACTTCATGCTGACAGAAACCGAATTAAGCTCCGGCCTGATGGGCCAATTGGCTCGCATACAGACTTAACTTTATCAAACTACGTTACCTCTATAGCTATTGGTTCAGTATCAGTCACTAAACTAGAGCCGGATGTGTTATAGAATAATTTAAATCCAGAAGTTCATCTCACCTTAGAATCTTTGATGTAATTACTTGTGATTTTAAGCACATCATTGTAACGGAACTTGATCACATTTGATAAACAGTCCGAGATACCCTCCTGAAACACATAGTGCCCATACGCCACTCCGTAGGCTCGGTTATGTGGTATAAAGTTGGCTACTGACATTTGTTGCGTTTTATCCTTCGTCTTCATAGACTCAATTCCAATGAAAATGTCATCTACGAGCACGTCGATTTCTTCTTGGTTTGTCAGCGAGTCGTACATCTCATCACGGTCTTCAAGAGCTACAAAAGATACGTCCGGTTGAATTAACATAACTAAAGATGCAAATTGTGCTTTATAAGAAATCGTAGCCAAAGAGCTCTTTTGCTAGAAATCAGTTGTGCTGTCAGCTTTAAAAAGAATTGAATTAATAGGTCTTTTAAATTAACGGCCTTCGGTTGCTGAAAGAATTTCAATTTAGCGAAAATGAAAGTTCAAAAGTAATACAGATGAACCTGAGATAGTTGAAAAAACAAAATGAATAGCGTGGAGGTGTACGGACAGTCAGGAACTGAACTAATAAGCACTCGTCTTAGCTTCAAGAGGATATTAAAATTCACACGGTATTAATGGTAAAAGTTAACATAAACACATTACGCTACATTTTATAATCGCTACATTTATACTATCACTAATTCTTTTCCTATTGCTACAGTTAATGAGAACAGCATAACGTATTCTTACTTGTAATGTTAGCGACCAAATTGACGGCATCCTGAAAAGCCGGGCTGTCCCTTAAGACGCCAACCTAATGCAAGGATTACTCAGTGGTTAGTATAACGAGTAGCCGTGTTAATTAGATTGTTTGCCTAGTTCGGCTTAATTTAAAAGGGCTACGGCTATGTAGATTTAGGGTTAGGTGTTAGGGTGATTTAGCCATGGAACCTAGCATAAATGTTCTTGTTGTCATTTGGAAGAGGGATGAACTTTAATGAAGGTATGGCCGCAATTTCGTATTTCACGCTTTTTCCATTCCATTTAAATGAGACGAGGATTCAATTTCTTTTCTCTTAGCTTCTGTTGCTGGAAAATATCCAAACCCTCGAAAATCAAGCGGGCTGCCCAGACCTAAAATCAATGCAGGACCACCTCCTAGAGGGAAAAAGAGTGGGATTACTACAACATCCCTTTAGGTATAGTACAAAGTCTCCAAGAACAAAATACAGGCACAAAATTGCCCAACCCGTTTTCCTGTTGTCACGTCATATTTCTCAAGCTTGACATTGGTTAGCGCACTGGTGAGGGTAGCAGTCATCACAGAACAAACAGTGACACCAATCAATATCCACACCAAGGCAAACGACCTGGCAAGAGTAGACTTCGGTGTCTTGTCGCCATAGCTTTATCAACAATTAAAAGAACAGGTCAGGTTGTTAGAAGTTTAGAGTGACAAACCCAAACTATCTTCAGCCTAAACTATCAGCTGATTAGTTCTGGGTGTGGTTGCGTGGGGTTGTTTCTGAGGGAAACTCTGGCTTGTATGGGGGAAGAATCATAATTCTCTTCTTTCATGTTCTTTTCGACGTCAGCCTATTTCAGGCTCTTGGTCAGTGGGGACGATCCAAAGCGGGTGGAGGGGGAAGGGGGAGAACGACGAGCGGGGTCTGGGACCTACGGCTCTCTCCTTTCCTCTCCCAGACTCTAATCGTCGCCCGCCCGCTGAAACAGGCTATCTGGACGTTAAAGCGTGTTGTAAACGTTTAGTCGACTCTCAATTAGAATTGCGCACTTGAAGTTTAGAGCGTCTTTCCAGTTCTCTATCAAGGGATCTATCATCGCCTGCCCGCTTTTTCGATTGTGTCCACTCACCGAGAGCCTGAAACAGGCTATTTGGACGTTAACCGTTTAGTCGGCTCTCAATTAGAATTTTGCGCTAGAACTTTACGGCGTCTTTCCAGTTCTCTATCATGGGATTATTTTCAGCCGAGTGCTAATTCTTTCATTTAGCAAGCTTGCTTAAGATCTTTCTGGGTGAATATTGGACCTTGGTCCGATATTTACTTGTAGTAGTACGGCCTGTGAGCTTAGTTAATAAGGTACGTTAACGAAAAGATGCAGCGTCTTAATCATTACTGTACTTAAGGATGTGCGGCAGTCGAAGCAAAAGTTTTGTAAAAATTCTTTTTTCCGATACACGGTAAGTTTATCCGAAGAACTCCGAGATTGCGTGCTTTTCTGCTTCATGTTTTACAATGAGTAAAAGCTTTGAGATATCCCCAAATTACTCTTTTGTTTGATCTCTTTCGCCCAAGGGTGTTAGCCTTCTCTTCTTTAAAAAAAACACCACATTATAAACAGGAAGCCTTTATCTTAAGGCACGAGACTTCAAATTATCACGCACGGAGAAAAAGAAAGTTATTACTCATGTGCAATTGTCACAGGGTGCAGAATCTGTTATAAGTAGAGTAGAAGATTTTATTATTATATATTTACAAAAGCAATGCTTAGAAACTGGAAAGAAAAAAGTCGTTATCATAACAAAACGAGCACAGCCTGGCAACCATTGACAAGAAAATTAGGCTCTGTCTTCTTCTACATACTTCACGGACAAGTAATACAAGGGAAAACTGACTCTATTCCTGATCATGAGCTGTAGGATTAAGTAAAGAAACGACAAGAAACAAACAAGTTATACCACACGTGCTTCATGTGCGTGTTCAAAACTAAATTATTAGGAGGGTTTTACTCACCCAACGGTTGTTATGGTAACGAATGCCCACCAAAATCCCTCAAAGGCGCCAAGATCAAATCTTGAGGGAAACTGCTCAGGATTGTGGGAAGAGTCCTAACAAAAAGTATCAACATTTAGGAAACAAATTACTTTTGAAAAATCCCGTTAAATATGTAATATACGATACTTGGTAAACATATTAAATGATAGCCGTGTTTACTCTGGGAGAGAGCAATTAGCCAAACGTGTTGAAGTTTACAACATGTGTGATATCATTATGCTCTGTAAATAATAAGTAACGTGATTGCAAGGTACACAACTGAACGTTTTATTCAATGCGGGGGGTGATATTTTCTCTGATTGACGTTTTTAGACACATTTAAACAGGAGGTCCTAACCCTCGCCGGGATGTGACGGTCTTTGATAACGCGCTCAATAGAATGAATTTCTCTTTCTTTCTGATCTGAAGACGTAACATTAAATCAAGCCTGCGTATGCAAATATGTGTCTGATAAAAGAACTGTAAAGACCTTTTATATATTCACTTGCCGTGATAAAAATGATATGACTATTGTTTATTTATTTATTTATTTAAAAGAAAATTAAATTTTTTTTTTTTTAGTCCATAAGCATTCATTTATGCTTGATCGAGTAAAACTATCGATCAAGGCATTATTTGACCAAAGTATTGTATGGTACGCGCACAAACTCCTATAGAAATTCTTGTCCCTGTGCCGAGAGGTTCCTTAAGATGATCTAAGTCGCCTAAAATTCACGATGAAAACAATGATTGCGATATCGACCTCTATAAAGCTCTTTCGTTAATAAACGTTCAACCTGATCACCGCGCCTCCATTTTTACGCTTCAATTGATTTTAAATAGGTGAACTTTTTTATTGTAAGTCGATAAACTCACCAAGGCCCAGATAAATACACCTGCGACGGACGACATTAAGAACGCCATTAACACCACGGGCCATGTTCCCAACACAGCCTTTAACACCACTTTCCATTCTTT